ATAGGGGTCATTTGGGGGGGGGTTTGGTTCTATCCTGGCATTTCAGGGCTTCCGAGACTGTGATAGGTAGTCAGAAAGTGTAGTGAGGAAATAAGCCCTTTAAAAGCCTGAAGATGCTTATTGGATTTTGGGGGAGGGGGGCACTTTCTCCCACTGCTTGTAAAAGCAGTCCTGCTGCTAATTAGCCGCTAGGATTACTTTTACATGAAAGCTGATCACCGACTGAAAAAAAAATTATACCAGGATGATGAAGTCGGTGCTGCAGCTGAATGGCATTCCTGCAAAGAAAACTGCAATGGTTAACAATAAAACCGTAACTCATTAAAACAGTAAAATCATAACAGTAGAACTGTAACAACGACAACAACAAAATAAACTACAACTAGTTTGTACCCTGTACAAATATGTGCCCTGAACTGTGCCGTATTGTACCCTATACTAATATTATTATTATTATACAGTATTTATAAAGCGCCAATAGTTCACTCAGCGCTGTACATTACAAAGGGGGACAGAACATGTGACAGAACAATACCAATACAATGCAAAACATGAGGGGATCGAGGGCCCTGCTCTTTCGAGCTTACAATCTAGAAGGGATGGGATAGTGGTACAGGAGGAGATAGCTGTGGGGGATGGAGTGGTAGGAAGAGTGGAGGAGGTCAGCAAGTTAGCAGGGGGTGAGGTAGGCTTCCCTGAAGAGATGGGTTTTCAGGGTGCGCCTAAAGGAGAGGAGAGTAGGTGATAATCTGATGGGTTGGGGAAGGGAGTTCCAGAGGATGGGTGACACCCTGGAGAAGTCCTGGAGGCGGGCATGGGAGAGAGGAGACCAGGGAACTAGAGAGAAGGAGGTCCACTAGTGTGTGGTAGCGACAGAAGCAGTCCTTGAGGCAGAGACCAGGTTGGCCAGGACAGGAGGGACAAAAAAGCGGGTGTCACGCCTAATTCCATGTCTGCTACAAACACATCTTTTTTGTGGTGTCCTTTGGGTCGGGGGGGTACCAGGAATGGCATTGGGAAAATGCCTCTTATGCAGCTGGCTAACTGCATCTGTGTTGGAGGTTTGGGCCACAGCACCTTCTGGATACAAAAGGGCCATCATGATCTCTTCCTGGAATTTTTAGGAAGATCCACTTCGTCCAGTTGCTTTGTAAAACCCAAAAGCATTATATAGAGCCAATTGAAATAAACAAACAGACACTTTTCTGTACCAGCGTCTGGCTTTTCGGGAAACTAAGTACAGCTTAATCATCTGGTCGTTGAAGTCTACCTCTCCCATGTTCAGGTTATAGTCGTGGACACAGAGGGGCTTCTCAACAACACCAGCTGCCATGGCAAGTTGGATGGTCATGTCTGCGTGAATGGAAGACAGGAAGAAAATATACTGTTTGTCCTTCCACTTCACTGCGGGCAATTCCTCATTTCTCAAGCAGGCTTTTTCAACCTTTCTAAGGTATTTACAAGCCATTGGTGGAAGCACCGGCGATTAGGTTGCACTATGCTACATGCGCCAATTCCAAGATTGTACAAATGTCTAAATAGTGAATAAAAATTGGCCACGTATAAGTGGTACCCCTTATGGAAAAAGGATGACACCAAGTCCCAAACTATCTTGCCACTGCTCCCCATGTAGGCTGGGCATCCGGGGGGCTCCACGTGACTATCTTTTCCCTCGTAAATCCAAATCTTATAGGTATAGCCCTCTCACAGGTCTTATACATCTTGACCCCATATCTGACATGCTTGCTGGGGAGAAATTGTTTGAATGCAAGGTGGCCAGAAAAATTAATGAGGGACTCATCAGCGCAGATGTTTTGCTGGGAAGTATAGACATCTGCAAATTTTTGGTTAAGGTGATTTACGAGGGGACGAATTTTGTGGAGCTGGTCAAATTCAGAGTCGCCGCGAGGACGACAGAGTGTATTGTCATTGAAATGCATAAAACGCAATATACTGTATGCCTGGCCATGGCAGCAGAGAACACGAGCATATGATGAATTGGGTCTGTGGACCAATACAACCGCAATTTATCTTTTTTTTTAGTAATGCCCATGTTGAGGGTTAGGCCCAAAAAAAAGTAAATTTGGAAACCGTAATGGGTTTCCACGCGAATGGTCTGGCAAGGTTTGAATTTGGCTTGGCAGTTGTGCATATAAATTGCTTTGATCCACAATCAATGCATACAAATCTTCCGTGAAAAACAGCTCCAAAAAAATCAAAGGGGAGTAGTTAAATGTGCTGTTTCCACCTGAATTCCGGGTTGGACAGTGAATGGGGGAAGTACGGGTGCTGCAGAATTTGTGGGCTGCCAATCGGGATTTGCAAGCACATCCAGAAGGATACTATGGGCTCTACAGACCTGTGTGTGAATTCTTGGTGGCTGTGGGACACTACTTGTGCTCGCAACTGCACCAGCTTGTACTGCACTTATGGGAATCCCCACATCACCAAGTGATACTGCAGTTCTGGTATGTGAAAGACAAGGATGTACTAGGCCGCTGGTGCTCACCAGTTCACCAAAAGGTAAAACGGCACTAGTACTGGCACTCTGCTGCATATGAGAGTCCTCATGCGATTGTACCATCTCAGCAACCTGGGAACAGGGTCAAGTACGCTTGACCTTAGCAAGGACCTCTTTTCCATCGTCTGAGCTATCTGTCAGGGTGCTGCTGCTGTTACAGGTTCGTATTCCGAGGCTGATTGTGTCAGCGGTCTTCTCCTTTTCTCTCACCTGACACGCTCAGAATCCTGTAGGCCTCTTCACTACCTTTCCATTGACATTTTTGGCCACTAAATTTATAGGTACCTAATGCAACTCATGGGAAAAAGAGCACCTGGCTGTCAGGAACTGCTTTAACGACTCCAAAAAAAGTTACCAGCAAGTGCTAACAGATTCTGCGAACACTGTGGGTTTTGTGTGCAAAGTATCAAGTGACAGTGACCTACTGGCACTACACTTGCTGGGGGGGGGGGGGGTAAGTGCAGGGGCTAAACGCAGGTGCTGGTAGGTTCCGGGGCTGATCCCGCTAACGCTGCTTTTTTGGGGACACTATACTAATGTGAACACTGGTATAGTGCTGATCTGATCAAAGATATTGATTACTGGTGTACTGACAAGCAGTCTGACGCTATCTGGGAGGGGCGCTAACTGATGCTAATGCTATCTGAAGTCGCTGGTGACACTATTACAGTGATCAGCAGAAACACTGTACTACTGACACTGTTGACAGGGCAGTGACGGGTTAATGAGGGGGGGCGATCAAGGGGTTAAATGTGTCCCAAAATGTTTTAACTGTGAAAGTGTGCTGTTTTACTCACTGTGTCTTTTTTCCTCTCTCTCTGGGATGGAATGTGCCCAGAGAGAGAAGATTTCATCACTTCCTGTACCTGTGTAAGTGTAAACACAGGTACAGGAGGATCCCTGATAGGACAGGGATCGATCATCCGACTTAGGTCGACTATCACTGGCCTAAATTGGATAAATGATCCCTTGGGGCGGCCCTGCGAAAGCCGTGGGAGCCTGCGAAAACGCGGAAGCACGCACGAATCACGTATATATACGTGATTTTGTGCACCCGGGCCACCCTGTAGCAGAATTTCAGCTATAGGGTAGTTGGGAAGTGGTTAAAGAAAACAATGCAGTCCCTACAGTCAGTGGTGGAGGTTCATTGATGTTTTGGGGTTGCTTTGCTGCTTTGGGAACTGAATGTCTTGACCGTGTGCATAGCGTTATGAAATCTGAAGACTACCAAAGAATTCTGAGATGCAATGTAGGGCCTAGTGTCAGAAGGCTGGGTTTCATCAGAGGTTATGGGTCTTACAGCAGGCAATGACCCAAAGCACACATCAAAAAGCACCCAGAAATGGTTTAAGACAAAGTGCTGGAGAGTACTGAACTGACCAGCAATAAATTCAGATCTCAGTCCCATAAAGCACCCGTGGAGAGATCTCAAAATAGCAGTTGGGAAAAGGAACCCTTCCAATTTCCGAGACTTGGATCGGTTGGCAAAAGAAGAGTGGACCATATTTCGAGTAAAGAGGTGTAAAAAACTCATTGATGGTTACAGGAAGTGATTGATTTCAGTTATTTTTTCTAAAGAGTGTGCTACCAAATATTAAATTGAGGGTGCCAATAATTTTGTCTATCCATTTTTTAGGTTTTGCGTGAAATGTGTCAGATTTGGATTTTTGTTTCTCCACTTTTTTTATGTTATACCAATACAAACAAAAGAAATACATGAGAATGCCTAAACATTTGTAATTGCAACAATTTTCTAGGCAAAGTGGTGCATTATCTGACAGAAATGCAGGGGTGCCAGTATTTTTGGCCATGACTGTAAGCACCATCGAAAGGTGTTTTTTAAATACTAATATTACTTTGTTTAGAAAAAGAGGTTCTATTGATGCAGATGTCTGAGAAAATTGTTGAGACAATTTATGTGGAGTGGGCCAGCTTTGTTAAAATGAGGTGTTTTTTTTTTTTTTGTGGTCAATGGGACTTAAGTGTTCAGCCAGCTACCCACTAGAAGCGCTGATCGGATGCTGGCTTTTGACAGTGGCCAGTTGTGAGAACGGCTTCTGTCGGACAGGCAGTTGTACACTGTTTCTGTTGAACCTGACAAGGCCTAACTCCTGCCTTAGGCTGCCCATAGACGGGCCATTTATGGGCCGAATTGTCGGCCGATAAATGAAAAATCGGTCTTTGCTGATGCTGTCACCAATGTCTATGAAAAACGGCTGTTTTTTCATGGATTTTCCAGCATGACCGATAAAAAGAAACGAGAAGATCCACAAAAAACGACCGAGGCATTGCCCCACTAACAGCGTGAATACGAAAAATCGGCTGATAAATGACCCTTCTATGGCCTGCATTACTGTATAACTAAATAAGACAATGATAAGATAATGTGCGAGTGTAGTTTTGTGATTCCTCTATCTCTTAGAATACACCCAATTTTGGTGATTACCATAGGAAATTTAATGTTTTAATTTGTTAACAGTTTACTTGGCCTGAATTTCTCACCACCAATGAGGTTAGCATGGAGGATTTCTGGTCCACACTGGAAACAGAAGTGTTGGAACAAGCTGCCTTCCCCTCCAGCATCCCCATCACCAAGTTTGATGCTTCCATCATTTCTCCATTTTTCCCACCTCTCATGCGTGGCCCTGTAGTAGTGAACAGTGAAAGCTACAAGAACCTGGAAATACAGAAGGTTGCAGGTGAGCATATGCAAATTCTTTTCTGCTAAGAAGCAAATCTGTACTGTATGTCAGAGGGGTTGTGGTGTATTTTTTTTTTTTTTTTTTTTTTTTGTGTTTTTTGCAATATTCAGCGTAACTAGAAATTATTCTCTCCATGCATCAAGTTGAAACCTTTGTTTATTGTTGACCAGGATAAATGTTAGGGGGAAAATGGGCAATTTCCCAGGGTACCAGATTTCTTAAAACCCCCCCCTCCTAGAGGAAAGGGTGGGTTGCGGGTGACTTTACTACTTATACTGTCACGTCTGTAAAATAGTGGCAGTGATTTATATTATTTTCCCATCTGTGTGACATATACTTCATGTTTCCTTAAGTGTGCAGAAGCCTTTTGTTCACCACAGGGATCTTTGTATAGTCTGCCTACCTCCCCATCCTGAACCAGTGTGTTCCAACTAGAAATGTGTGGGGTGGTGTTTGACACATCCTATCCCTCCCCGGCCCCAGAGAGTTCGGCAGAGTCCAAGTAAGAAGGTTAAAAATCTTCTTTGGAGGGTAAATTGGAAGCAGTCAGGTGCCTAGCCCAGTAGAGATGGTGATTTGTGAAACTTTCAGAGAATTTGAGGCTTCTATGCAGTACAGGAACCAAGATGATGTCACACCTGCTTAGAGTGTAGTATCTTATGATAAGGCACGGTTTTCACTTTACTTTATAGACACAATAAACATAATTGATGTAAAGGGGCAATTAACACATGATGGCTTCCTGGAGATTAGACTTTTCCCCAAAGCTAGGGCCATAGGTGCTTGGGGTGAAGTAAGATTAGGGTAAAGCTGTGGCCTATGTACCTTTCTTCCCTGCTTTCTAAGGAAGTCGATGTGCCCAACTGTCTTAACAAGGGGAGTTACTAGGTTTCAGTCTCAAGGGACATATCCCTTATCTTCTCTTTCTCTATCTCTTGACGTATTATTTTATCAGTCACAAGAGGCTCTTTCTGCTCTCCTCAATGGACAACTCACTGAAATTTAAAGTTAAGACCAGTCTGATAAAGTAGTAGCATTTTCCGAGTGACGATACATGCAATTATATACTGCAAAAATTATCAAAATAATGTGTGCAGCGATCGCAGTTGATCCAACAATCCAACACAATGTAAATAATGTATGTTTTTTAAAACACACCATCAAAATCAATATTTTTAGAAAGGCTAATAAATTTCTCTGACCTGTTGACCTGTTCCAACTCCTCCCATCCTTACACTGTGGTCTGCAATGTGACCATCACTAATTGCATGTACCACTTCTCTCTTTCCCATTCCATTTTAGATTGTAAGCTTTTTGCTCAGGGTTCTCATTCCTAACATTTGATGTTGCTTGCACTGTTCTGTATGTTTTACTTTGTGAAACTGTACAGCATATTGGTGTTATGAAAATTTTTAAGAATAATAGTAATAATGATAATGCATAAATTGAATTAAGAGGTACAAAATGTCAATTGTGTTTTGGTTCAGTATAATCTGTAACATTTCGTGTGGTGTTGCAGGTAACGGCAGTGCTTTGGCCAGACTCCTCCATGACGGCACCCTTAAGCTGGATGACCTAAACACACTTAGCACTGAACAGCTGCGGAGGATACTGACACTTTGTGGCATTACTTGGAATGTTACAGACACAAAGGTAGATCCTGTCTCTTGTCATTTCTGACTTGGACCATAAGAAGACTTGAGTAAAGTGTCTTTTGACACCTCGTTCCAATAAGGGCTACTAACTGCCATTGTGGACAAATCAAATGTGCTGAAGTTTATTTTTCATTAAATCCCACTCCCTTGCAAAAATACGCATTGTTCCCTTTGTCTCCCATGTTCTCCCACATCTGGATGCTGTTGATGAAGTAGCAGCTATGTGATATATATTGCTTTTCTAATTTGGGTCTTTATGTATTTCTTTCTGCATATAGGACAGCATGTGTTACTCCATCCTGGCCCTTTCAGAGTTTGTACAGAATGGGACACAGATCAAGCAGCCTCTATGTCATTTAACTGGAGGGAAGGTTTACAAAATTTGCCCACATCAGGTAATTACATTGAAAATCCTAAATGTTTGCTATGTGCTCATGAATTGTTTTCTTCACACTGAAAAGGAACGTTTCTTTTAAGTTTGTAAGATCTCATCTTTGATCATTTTTCTTAGGACCTTCACACCTGAGCTGTGTCATTAGTGTCTGGTGAATTAATATGTTGCTTTCTTTGCAGCCTTGGTTCAGAATGGCATCTTGAAAGGTACAATGCAAAGTTTCTGTGTTCAGCTTCTTGACCACATACTGTCATGTGTCACTGTAGGTGGTGTGCGGCTCAAAGTACATTGTACGTGGGGAAAGTCCTCGGGATCATGTTGACCTTTTGGCCTCTTCACGTCATTGGCCCCCTGTGTACATAGTGGACATGGCTACGCAAGCAGCTCTGTGTGCCGATCTCTGCTACCGAAACCTGGCGAAGCAGATGTGGGGAAAAAATCAAGGATGCTTCTCTGATCCATCAGAATCTCCAAAGGTGGGTGTGATTATAACTGAAGAACCAACAAGACGATTAGAAAAAATTTTAAAGTGCCATTTTTCATCTTTTGAAAGCCATGCTCAAGATAGAATTAAAGGCAAAATGTTTTTATTTGGTTTTTGTTTGTGGTTTTTTTATTTTTCATTTTTGTGTTCTTTTTTAATATTTCCCTTCACTTCCAGTCCCATAGGAATCGAGAAGTCATCACTACAAAGCGGGGGAATCTTTAGTTGCCATGAGGGTCACTAGAACTGGTGTTCCCATTGAAAGATTTTCTGTCTATTACTGTTTGACAGTTTTGAGATATTTCTTTCACTTCTGGTGATAACAGTAAACATGACAGATAGAGGGTGAATGTGCCTAACCAGGGCACAGGCCACCATAAAAACTTGACAGGTGTTCTAATCCCTCTCCACACTGCCCAGAACTAACAGAAAAGTATTGACCTCTAAAAATAGATGTAAACCCAGTTACTAAAACCCCATATATGTGTTAACGTGTTTATGTAATTTAAGAAATCATTTTCAAAATTTTAAAAGTGACTCTGACTTAAAAAAATACATTTTTACTTGCTTCTCTTTCGATACATTCCTCGAATTTTAGTTCTCACGAGAGCAAAGCTGCAGCACTGTGGTTCCTCCAAGGGATCACTATTTCACATTTCACCAATGTGTCCCAGGGTCACAGTGAAAAAATGTTTTCAACTGCTAGAAAGATTAGTAACTTTCTTATGTATTTGTTTATACAGTGGGGCAAAAAAGTATTTAGTCAGCCACCAATTGTGCAAGTTCTCCCACTTAAAAAGATGAGAGAGGCCTGTAATTGGCATCATAGGTAGACCTCAACTATGAGAGACAAAATGAGAAAAAAAATCCAGACAATCACATTGGCTGATTTGGAAAGAATTTATTTGCAAATTATGGTGGAAAATAAGTATTTGGTCAATATCAAAAGTTCATCTCAATACTTTGTTATATATCCTTTGTTGGCAATGACAGAGGTCAAACGTTTCCTGTAAGTCTTCACAAGGTTGGCACACACTGTTGCTGGTATGTTGGCCCATTCCTCCATGCAGATCTCCTCTAGAGCAGTGATGTTTTGGGGCTGTTGCTGGGCAACACGGACTTTCAACTCCCTCCAAAGGTTTTCTATGGGGTTGAGATCTGGAGACTGGCTAGGCCACTCCAGGACCTTGAAATGCTTCTTACGAAGCCACTCCTTCGTTACCCGGGCGGTATGTTTGGGATCATTGTCATGTTGGAAGACCCAGCCATGTTTCATCTTCAATGCCCTTGCTGATGGAAGGAGGTTTGCACTCAAAATCTCACAATACATGGCCCCATTCATTCTGTCCTGTACATGGATCAGTCGTCCTGGTCCCTTTACGGAGAAACAGCCCCAAAGCATGATGTTGCCACCCCCATGCTTCACAGTAGGTATGGTGTTCTTTGAATGCAACTCAGCATTCTCTCTCCTCCAAACACGACAAGTTGTGTTTCTACCAAAGAATTCTATTTCGGTTTCATCTGACCATGTGACATTCTCCCAATCCTTTTCTGGATCATCCAAATGCTCTCTAGAAAACTTCAGACGGGCCCGGACATGTACCGGCTTAAACAGGGGGACACGTCTGGCACTGCAGGATCTGAGTCCCTGGCGGCGTAGTGTGTTAGTGATGGTAGACTTCGTTACGTTGGTCCCAGCTCTCTGCAGGTCATTCACTAGGTCCCCCCGTGTGGTCCTGGGATTTTTGCTCACCATTCTTGTGATCATTTTGACCCCACGGGGTGAGATCTTGTGTGGAGCCCCAGATCGAGGGATATTATCAGTGGTCTTGTATGTCTTCCATTTTCTAATTATTGCTCCCACAGTTGATTTGTTCACACCAAGCTGCTTGCCTATTGCAGATTCAGTCTTCCCAGCCTGGTGCAGGTCTACAATTTTGTTTCTGGTGTCCTTCGACAGCTCTTTGGTCTTCACCATAGTGGAGTTTGGAGTGTGACTGTTTGAGGTTGTGGACAGGTGTCTTTTATACTGGTAACAAGTTCAAACAGGTGCCATTGATACAGGTAATGAATGCAGGACAGAGGAGCCTCTTAAAGAAGAAGATACAGGTCTGTGAGAGCCAGAAATCTTGCTTGTTTGTAGGTGACCAAATACTTAATTTCCACCATAATTTGCAAATAAATTCTTTCCAAATCAGCCAATGTGATTGTCTGGATTTTTTTTCTCATTTTGTCTCTCATAGTTGAGGTCTACCTATGATGCCAATTACAGGCCTCTCTCATCTTTTTAAGTGGGAGAACTTGCACAATTGGTGGCTGACTAAATACTTTTTTGCCCCACTGTATATACAGGTATACTGTACTGTATATATCATTTAGGCTGTAGTATTTGCAGTAAGATATGTATAAATTGTGTGCTTTTAGTGTTTGTGTATATGTATACACTGAGCAACCATAACACAATGACCACTGACAGGTAAAGCGAATAACACATGACAATGGCACCTGAAAGTGAGAAGGGTATATTGGGCAGCAGGATAACATGTTGTCACTGAAGTTGAGGTGTTGAAAACCGAAAAAACTGGCAAGCACAAGAATTTTAGTGGCTTTGACTAGGTTCAAATTGTAATGGCTAGACGACTGGGTCAGAGAAACTCCAAAACTGCAGCTCTTGTGGGATGTTCCTGATCTGCTGTGGTCAGGACTTACAAAAAGTGGTCCAAGGAAGGAAAACCAGCAAACCTGACAGCAGAGTCATCTGCAGCCAAGGCTCACTGATTTACGTGGCTGGCCCATGTACTCTGATTCAATAGAAGAGCTACTGTAGCTCAAACTACTGAAAAAGTCAGTGCTGGTTCTGATAGAAAGGTGTCAGAACACACACAATACATTGCAGTTTGTTGCGAATGGAGCTGCCTAGCTGCAGATCTGTCTGGGTGCCCATGCTGTCCTCTGCCAAAAGCACCTACAATGGGCATATGAGCATCAGAACTAGACCATGGAGCACTGGAAGAAGCTGGCCTGATCTGATGAATCACTTTTTTTTGTTTTACATCATACGAATGGCTGGGTGCACATGCATCACTTACCTGGGGAAGAGATGGCACTAGGATGCAGTATGGGAATAAAGCAAGCCGGCGGAGACAGTGTGATGCTTTGTCTAGTGGAGTCCATGCCTTTATTGATCAGGGCTGTTTTTGGCAGCAAAGGGGGACCTACTCAGTAATAGGTGGGTGGTCATAGGGTTATGGATGATCGGTGTATGTATGTGTATGTATATATATTTCTTTATCATATTTTGAGGGACACAGGAAAACGTTAGACTAACTCCACCTTTTTGACAATGTTACGCACATATTTAGGGGGATGTGACATGTAAAGTAGTGCAAATTAGTCTTAAGCAAACAAAATATAAAACTTGTATCTTGGCCCTTTCAAAGCTTGTACAGAATGGGACACAGATCAACAGCCTCCCTCTCTTTTAACTGGAAGGAAGGTGTACTACCAGTATGCCTTAGTTTTTTGCTCGTGTCCTAGGAAGATGGACATTTTTTTTTTGCTTGCTCTGCTGGGAAAAGTATAAGTGAGATTTTGCTAGCATCTCTTCTTTTCATTCTGTTTCCATTTTTTTTTCTGTAATCATGAGTCTTCATTACTGCCAGCGATGGTCTCTATACTTTTTAGATATTTGCTTGTAAAAATTTTTTGAAAAGCATTTATCATTTTTCATCCACTTTGTGTTGGTCTATCACATAAAATCCCAATAAAATACATTTACGTTTTTGGTTGTAACATGACAAAATGTGGAAAATTTCAAGGGTATGAATATTTTTTCAAGACACTGTAGATTATCAGATTCTCCAGGTAGCCCCAACTGGTCTTTGGGATCAGGGTGTCATTGCTTCAATTCCTGTGGCGGAATATTTTCTGGGATTTTACTCCAACCTGTTTCCAGACCCCCAAACCTATAGGGGGCATCTGCCCCATCTCAGATCTAAAAGCGCTGGAAATTTAAATCCAAGTTCAGAATTTCTGCATAGAAACCACTAGGTCTGTTATCACCTCACCTCAATAAGGAATACTTCCTGGCATCTGTGGACATCAAGCCCATCAATATTTACGATTTGATCTGTTTTGCCTGTACTTTCAGTTAACTGCCCTGCCATTCAAGCTGTCCTCTGCACCACAGGTGTTCACCAAAGTACTGGCCCTGCTGTGCTCTCAGGGCCTTCCTTTCCCCATAACTAGATGACCTTCTGCTGAGGGAACAGTTGGCTTAGGTTCTGGAAGACAATATATCCTTGACATTACAATGGTTCGGCTGGATCCTAAACCTTCAAGAATTAGCACTAGAACTGACTCATTACTTGGAGTATCTGGATCTAGTCCTAGGCACAGATCAGTCCAGAGTCCAATTCTATATGTGTTGTGGTGCCATTAGGAATTAATGGCATGCATGCGCATCTGCAAAAGGCACCATACCTGGCATGAACAAGCCCTTAGGGGTTCACTGTATAAGGCTATTGTGTCCCTATTTGCAAGGTTGCTACCTGGTGTTTTGTTCATATGTTCTCTAAATTCTATAAAGTGAATGTTCAGGCCTTATGTTGGCTTCAGACATCAGATAATTCAAGCTGCTCTTTTAACTACAGGCAGCCCCCAGTTTTCTTGTTTTTTTTTGTGGGCATGTTAGCATCAGTTTACTGTGTTGCCTATCCCTCGATTGGGCTGCTTTTGGATGTCCCGAAGGTTGACTTCCCGTGTCCCTTAACAGATAAGAAAGTAAATAGGGTTTTTGTACTCAATATAAAATCTTTTTCTTGGAGCCAATTGAGGAACACAGAGCCCACCTCTCTGTGCTTATGTTCTTGCTGTTGGTACTGCTTGTGACAAAACTGAGGCATGCTGGTAGTAGGAGGGGTTATCGTGGTATAGCCTAAAACTTGTTTTGTTTGCCATTGTCCAGTCCTCCAGTAGGTGGTAGTAAAACCTGAAGCTTAAAGCGAATTCCTGGTTTTGTGTTACTTTAAATAGTACAATGTACATATTTATAATAGCACCAACTACATACAGTATGCAGCGCTGTGTTCTGACAGCGGTATGGGGACTTCTATCCCATTGCTGGAACAAAGTCGATTTTGGGCTGAGCGCTGTTCAGCCATTCACAGGAAGCCTTATATTTTATCAATGAATACAAGACTTCCTCTGATTGGCTGAGGTGGAGATACTGATGTCATCTGCCTGCCACTCCACGTCAGTCAATTAGAAGAAGCCTTGTATTCATTGAATTTAGGTATTCGAGTCAATTATTTTGTTTCCAAGAGGTTTTTATAGTGAAAGTCACATTCACTACATTTTAAGTTAAAGTTTGTATAGCGTGAAGGCAAAGTTCACAGATATGAATAGTCAAGATTGCTTTTTTGAACTTTGGAATGAACATTGACATTCTCAAAAGTGGTGAGAAGAAAACTTTTGTCAAAAACAAACTGTAAGGTTTCATTTTTTTGAAGTGCAACTGGATGATATGTTACATTATAACCTTTTTTCCTTTTGGCTTGTTTTTTATTTATAAAATAATGTATTTTTTTTTTTGAGTTTTTAGAATTAAAAATTATATTTGTTTTCTTGTAGTATGTTTCTTGTCCTGAGCTCCTTGACAGACATTATAACATGGATATGATGGGCAATGAGCCTTCTATTCAGCATCCTGTGACCAAATCGGCATCCCGAAGAATTGTCCATGCTGTGGCGGAACAGAACGGAACTTCTGACCCCACCTCTCGTCATCATTCTTTGTCTCTTTGTCGTGAGCTGGAGCCATACAGTGCCATCATCACAGCTATTGGAGACAGTAAGACAAGCAATATCCGCCACAACTCCATAAACTTTGAGAACGCCACGCATTATTACCTCTATAACAGATTGATTGACTTTCTCACCAGTCGTGAAATTGTGAACAGGCAAATACATGACATTGTGCAGACCTGTCAGCCTGGGGAAGTGGTAATCAGAGACACTCTGTACCGGCTTGGTGTGGCACAGATCAAGACAGAGCTTGGAGATGAGTTGGAGGAGGACATTACAGTAGATCAAACAAGCTCTGCATGAACCTACCTGTTATCGGTATCTTGCACTACAGGGATTCCAAACATTTCCTGATGAACAGACAATCAGCTCTCTCAATGAGCATGCCTCTGTTCCACTGCACGTTCATTAAGGAACATGTGAACCAATGTCTTAATGAGTTGGTTGCCAAAGTTATGAATGAAAACTGCCTTTATGTGAGGAAAGAAGGCAGAATGCACTTTTTTTTCTTGTGCTCTGTATCAGACAGCATTTTAGATTTGTGTATATTGTTTTTGGATTCTAGGATGTGTCTGCCTAGGATGGCCCAGGACATATGGTGCCTTCTATGCCTATAGGGGGACTATACCGAGATTTAAAACAGGGTGAGATACATTTACTTCAGCTCACTGCAGTGAGTTTACCTTTAGTGGTCAGAAGGTGTACTGCATCTGCTTAAAATCTGCCTCTTTCTATGTGTGTACACAAAGACACTCCAGTCACTCCAGTAGCAGTCAGATCACTGAGCATTTTTTTTTACCACATCCAGTGAAATTGCACATCAGACAAGTGGTATGTGCTGCTTTGGATTTTTTTCTGTTCATTTAGCACAGAAGAACAGTAAAAAAATTGACGGCCTTACAGTCATCTTCTGCAGGAGTTGTATACATAATGGTGAGACTGTTGCATGATTGTATCAGGATCATTTAGATTGTACAGCAATTCCTGTCTCTGTATTTTAATATGTGTGGCTGAAGTTAAAAACAATTGCAAAGTCAGTTATGAATATACAAATGGTCTTGCAGATGATAATAGAGGGATCTCGTCAGGAGGATCACAAAATTGAAAAATTGCACTGCTAGGTACAAATTTACTCAGTATTTTGTCTCTTTTAAATGTTTTTGTTTTTGTTCTAATTGCATTGTTGTGTCATATGTCATTTTCATGCTAAGCAATGGCCCACTAGGTCCATCATTAAATATCACTTTTCCTACAATGACTGGATCAAGCAGAATCATGCCAGATGTATATACCATCCTATGAGCCAGGTAGCTGATAAAATCAAATCTGACATCGTATTGGTTACTCTTTTTGTATTTGGCATGCATACTGTACTCATCCCTTCTAGATTTCACCGAGTAGATCTCGATTTGAGTGTTGGGTTCAGTATATGGAAAATCTGTCTTATTGTAGGGAGAGCTGGTGGGGTTGTCTCAGCCCTCATTAGATATACTGTATACAGTATGTATGTGTGTGTTTATATATATGTGTGTGTTTATATATATGTATGTGTGTATATATATGTATGTGTGTTTTATATAATACACACACATACTGCTCTCAAATATATTAAAGGAACACTTCTTAATCAGAGTATAGCATCAAGTCAATTAAACTCCTGGGATATTGATCTGGTCAGTTAAGTAGCAGAGGGGTTGTTAATCAGTTTCAGCTGCTTTGGCGTTAATGAAATTAACAACATGTGCACTAGATGGGCAACAATGAGACGACCCCCAAAACAGTAATGGTTTTACAGGTGGAGGCCACTGACATTTTTTTCCCTGCTCATCTTTTCTGACTGTTTTTCACTAGTTTTGCATTTGGCTAGGGTCAGTGTCACTACTGGTAGCATGAGGCGATACCTGGACCCTACAGAGGTTGCACAGGCAGTCTAACTCCTCCAGGATGGCACATCAATACGTGTCATTGCCAGAAGGTTTTCTGTGTCTCCCAGCACAGTCTCAAGAGTGAGATTCCAGGAGACAGGCAGTTATTTTTGGAGAGTTGGACAGGGCCGTAGAAGGTCCTTGACCCATCAGCAGGATTGGTATCTGGTCCTTTGTGCAAGAAGGAACAGGGTGAGCACCGCCAGAGCCCTACAAAATAACCTCCAGCTGACCACTGGTGTGAATTTCTCTGACCAAACAATCAGAAACAAACTTCATGATGGTGGCCTGAGGGCCCAATATCCTCTAGTGGGCCCTGTGATCACTGCCATGCACCACATAGAGCTCAATTGACATTTGCCTTTGAACACCAGAATTGGCAGGTCTGCCACTGGTGCCCTGTGCTTCTCACAGATGAGAGCAGGTTCACCCTGAGCAAATGTGACAGACGTGAAAGGGTCTGGAGAAGCCATGGAGAATGTTATGCTGCCTGTAACATCGTTCAGCATGACTGTTTTGTTGGTGGATCAGTGATGGTCTGGAGAGACATATCCATGGAGTGACGCACAGACCTATACAGGCTAGACAATGGCACCCTGACTGCCATTTGGTATCTGGATGAAATCCTGAGACCTATTGGCAGACCCTACGCTGGTGCAGTGGGTCCTGGGTTCCTCCTGGTGCACGACAATGCCCGGCCTCATGTGGCGAGAGTATGCAGGCAGTTCCTGGAGGATGAAGGAATTAATATCATTGAATGGCCCGCACACTCATCTGACCTAAATCCAATAGAACACCCCTGGGATATCGTGTTTCAGTCCATCGGACGCCTCCAGGTTGCACCTCAGACTGTCCAGGAGCTCAGTGATGCCCTGGTCCAGATCTGGGAGGAAATACCTCAGGACACCATCTGGCGTCTCATTAGAAGCATGCCCAGATGTTGTCAGGCATGCATACAAGCACATGGGGGCCATACAAATGACTGAGTACCATTTTGAGTTGCTGCAATGAAATTTCAGAAAAATGGACTAGCCTGCTGCATCAAGTTTTTCACTTTGATTTTTGGGGAGTCTTTGAATTCAGTCCTCTGTACGTTGATATTTTCATTTCCATCAAACGATGGGGCATCCTTACGTTCCTAACACATTATCCAGTTCTTATCAGTATAGATATCCTGAATGATTTTTTTCCCCATTGACATCTGATGTGTTTTCAAAGTGTTCCTTTAATTTTTTTGAGCAGTGTGTGTGTGTGTGTGTGTGTGTGTGTGTGTGTGTGTATGTGTGTGTGTGTATGTATATATATATGTGTGATGTATGTATGTATGTATGTATGTATGTGTATAGTATATATATATATATATATCATCTCAGAAGTGAGTACACCCCTCACATTTTTGTAAATATTTTATTATATCTTTTCATGTGACAACACTGAAGAAATGACACTTTGCTACAATGTAAAGTAGTGAGTGTATAGTTTTGTATAACAGTGTAAATTTGCTGTCCCCTCAAAATAACTCAACACACAGCCATTAATGTCTAAACCGCTGGCAACAAAAATGAGTACACCCCTAAGTGAAAATGTCCAAATTGGTCCCAAAGTGTCAATATTTTGTGTGGCCACCGTTATTTTCCAGCACTACCTTAACCCTCTTGGGCATGGAGTTCACCAGAGCTTCAAAGGTTACCATTGGAGTCCTCTTCCACTCCTCCATGACGACATCACGTAGCTGGTGGATGTTAGAGACCTTGCTCTCCTCTACCTTCCATTTGAGGATGTCCCACAGATGTTCAATAGGGTTTAGGTCTGGAGACATGCTTGGCCAGTCCATCACCTTTACCTTCAGCTTCTTTAGCAAGGCAGTGGTCATCTTGGAGGTGTGTTTTGGGTCGTAATCATGTTGGAATACTTCCCTGCGGCCCAGTCTCCAAAGGGAGGGGATCATGCTCTGCTTCAGTATGGCACAGTACATGTTGGCATTCATGGTTCCCTCAATGAACTGTAGCTCCCCAGTGCTGGCATCTCTCATGCAGCCCCAGACCATGAAACTCCCACCACCATGCTTGACTGTAGGCAAGACACACTTCTCTTTGTACTCGTTGCCTGGTTGCCACCACACACGCTTGACACCATCCGAACCAAATCAGTTTATCTTGGTCTCATCAGACCACAGGACATGGTTCCAGTAATCCATGTCCTTAGTCTGCTTGTCCTCAGCAAACTGTTTGCGGGCTTTCTTGTGCATCATCTTTAGAAGAGGCTTCCTTTTACGACGACAGCCATGCAGACCAATTTGATGCAGTGTGCGGCGTACGGTCTGAGCACTGACAGGCTGACCCCCCCCTCCCACCCCTTCTACCTCTTCCACCTCTGCAGCAATGCTGGCAGCACTCATACGTCCATTTCCCAAAGACAACCTCTGGATAGGACGCTGAGCACGTGCACTCAACTTCTTTGGTCGACCGTGGTGAGGCCTATTCTGAGTGGAACCAGTCCTGTAAAACCACTGTATGGTCTTGGCCACCATGCTGCAGCTCAGTTTCAGGGTCTTGGCAATCTTCTTATAGCCTAGGCGATCTTTATGTAGAGCATTTTTTTTTTTTTTTTCAGATCCTCAGAGAGCTCTTTTCCATGAGGTGCCATGTTGAACTTCCAGTGACCAGTATGCGAGAGTGAGAACACCAAATTTAACATACCTGCTCCACATTCACACCTGAGACCTTGTAACATGAACGAGTCACATGACAGCGGGGAGTGAAAATGGCTATTTGGGCCCAACTTGGACATTTTCACTTAGGGGTGTACTCACTTTTGTTGCCAGCGGTTTAGACATTAATGGCTGTGTGTTGAGTTATTTTGAGGGGACAGCAAATTTACACTGTTATACAAGCTGTACACTCACTACTTTACATTGTAGCAATGTGTCATTTCTTCAGTGTTGTCACATGAAAAGATATAATAAAATATTTACAAAAACGTGAGGGGTGTACTCCAGTGAGATAGTGTGTGTATGTACAATATGTGTGTGTGTGTATATATGTATGTATGTGTGTGTATGTGTATATATATATGTGTGTGTGTGTGTGTATATATTATATATATATATATATATATATATATATGTGTATGTATGTGTGTATATATATTTATATAATTATGGGTTTCATCTGTGTAAACCCGTTGATTAAGCTTCCTTCCCATGACCTGTGAGGTAAAGCTCATTCATATGGCACTGACCAATTGGACTATGTACTTTGCAAGTATTTACTTCAGAAATGTATAAATACTGTACACTCCACATGTTTTAATTTGGTCCCTGCTCATTACATGTTATGCACACAGCTGTGAATGCAAAATATGAGAACACATATTAAT